AGCCCAGCATGCTCTTACGGCCTGCTACTATAATAGGCCGAATTAGACCTGTATCGTGCCGGGTCGGATCGAGCCGAGCTCAAAAGCGAGCCGGTTAAGCGCACTCGTGGGCCGACCCGGTCCAGTGCCCCCTATTAATAGTATGTCCACAATTTTTTATTGCGAATACTCTTCTCATTGACTGCTAAGGATTGGCGACAGCTACTGTTTAGGCTAGTAATGAGAATTTTTGGACAACTAAGCAGGTGTTGTGGGTACAGTCTACAATCCAGTTCAATCTGTCTGGGGGCAAAATACCATATATTATATGGGCCTTCTAGATAATATTGGGGTGGTTGTGACCACACCCATGTAGTACCCAATTGCGAATTGGGATCCTCTCCTAATGAATCCTCTCCTAATATCTCCTAATAAGAAGATCTTGGCCTTTGATTTATCAATCAAAGGCCAAGATCTTATCGTTATCTCCCCCCTACTTTTGTGCATGAGAAGATCTTGACCTTTGATTGATAAATCAAAGGCCAAGATCTCATTAGGATATATTAGGAACTCTCTCATTAGGAGAGGATCCGGATCCCCCAATTGCAAGAAGATCTATATAGTTCTATTTGTCGTAAATAGACTCTTTAAAGTTTTATTTATGGCAAATAGACTCCTTGTGGTATTGAACCAAGTGTGAATACACCTCCTTAATGAACTTTTTTGACTCCTTTAAAAAGTATCAACTGTGTGTTCCTCCTCACCTATAGAACTATAGGTAGTATATCTACATCCTCAAATATTTTAAACAATTTGAAGAGTAAAAAGAAAAAAATTCACTCAGATGGTCTATTCACAACAAGTAGAACTACAACATGTCTAGTCACAAAAAATAGAACTACATAGGGTCTATTCACAATAAATAAAATTACATGGAGTCTCTTTGCAATTGGGTAAGGTCTATTTACATCTGTTTGCACTTGACCCTTTTTTTAGTTGGTTGTTTGGGTGTGTGTGTGTGTGTGGGTGGGTGTGGGGGTAGTAGAAAGAGCTTCTAAGTTTTATCCCTCTTTGCTAATAAGCCTTCAATTTCCCCCTTTTTTTTAATTTTGGTGCGGATAATGAAGCCATTATTTTTACTCATTTCTTCTAATAGGCCCAAAATCTTCTTGTTAGTTTCTTTGTTAAATAAAATAAAATAAATAGAAAGCTAGGGGCTTCTTAGAAGGGGTAACCCTTGGGGGCTTAGTTGATACGGGCGTATCTTCTTCCTTGCTTCGGGAGCTTAGCGATCCTCATGAGAGCTTGAGGATTGATGATTCTCATGCTAGCTTAAGAATAGAAGCGTGGGCGGAACCGTTGGTGGTGACGAAAACGGTCAAAAGTAGGAAAAAAGAAGACATCAGGAAATGGAAGAACAGACTCTGGCCGGTTGATCGAATGGTTGACACCGGTTGACCGACAAGGCCATATCGGTCGACCAACCGACCAATGTCGGTTGACCAAAAATGTGCACGCTGCAGGGTCTAAAAATGAGCTCTCTGACCGGTCAACCGCACTGCACATACTGGTCGACCGGATTGGGTTCCTGGGTGATTTGGGATTCCTGATTGACGTGTATTCCAAGTTGAGTTGGGCTGGGTTATTTACGAGATTGTCATCCATGTTGTTAGACATATAAATAGGGATTGTTTAGGGTTCCTAAACATCAGACTGGATTTTAAAGAGAATAGGAACTATGAGGTTATATTTACGGATCTCTTCGTTGTCCATCCAAAACTATTATTGTGCCTTCGTTATCTACATCCTCCATATCAAAAGTCACTTCTAGTGATTCCACTACTAATGATTTTCAGATCACTTATTCTTAGTGGATCCGTTCTAATCAACAGATCATGGCATATATTATGTGTTTTGTAGTTATTCCTATTCGACTCTCCCTTGGACGAGTATCTTTATCTCGTGAGCAGTGGTTAGCTCTCAGTCACATGTTTGTTCAAATTGGTGTTGCTCGTGAGTATCAACTTCACCAAGCTCTTCAGGATACACATCAAGGTGATCGGTCTATTCAAGATTTCTATTCCTTATTATCGGGCTATTGGGAGGAATTGCAGATGATGGAGGAACCATATTCCTGAGATGCTTCTAGACTTTACCATAGCATTTAAAAAACAATGTGATCGTCAACAGTTATATCATTTTGTCATGCACCTTCGCCCTGAGTTCAAAAGCTTACATGGACACATTCTTCATCGCAGTCCTCTCCCTAGTCTACGTGAAGCCATGGCTGAGTTTATATCTAAAGATACGCACCTTTAGACCCTCTCCCCTCTAGTTATTGCATCTTAGCCATTACCCTCATCACATACTATTCTAGCTACACCTCAGTAGTTCTCTTCCTATCGGTGTCCTTCTAACAGTACATCTGATTCCTCTCGGCAACTCTACTATCGTTATTGTAAGAAGCCGGGTCATCTTATTGATAAAGGTCGTAAGAGACCACCTCGTCCAACACTCGAGAAGACTCAACCTCCATTTGCTGCTTCGGCTGATGTTAGCCCTGCTATTCAAGGGCCGCAGACTTCTAGCTCTCTCTCTCTCTCTCTCTCTCTCTCTCTCTCTCTCTCTCTCTCTTCTTAACACCTGTCAGAGATTACTACATTAATAACCAAGAATCTTGGGCTTAGTGGTGTTGCCTCTAGCTCAGATTTTAATGTCTTGTCTGCTCATTCTGGTACTTCTACTCCTTGGATATTCGACTCAGGTACATCTCATCATTTGACCTTAGATAACTCCGTTCTTACAAATTGTTCACCTGCTCCCTCTTCATTATGCATTTATACTGCTAATGACACTCCCTTGCAGTCACTCAGTAGGTGATGTTACTCCAAGTTCTGATAGTTCTGGTTGTCTAACGTTATCATTTGTTCTTCATATTACCAAATTATCTATGCAACTTTTATCCATTAGGAAAATTGTAGATTCTGGTTGCACTATCTTATTTAATGCTAAATCTTGTGTTGTCCAGGATCACACTGGCCAGAAGAATAGGACATGTCGTAGAGTTACTGAACTTTATCAATTGGAGTCTCTACATCTTTCCACTTCATCCAACATTTTCCATGTGCCCTCTATTTCTGATCTGTGGCATCGTCGCTTGGGTCATATCTTTGGCTCTCGCTTAAAACTTTTATCTAAATCAGGAGTATTAGGAAATTTAAAATTCTCTACTTTATCAAACTGTACTGAGTGTCGATTAGCTAAACAAATTGCCCTACCATTTTTATCCAGTAATAAAATTGCTTTATCCCCATTCAATTTGATTCATTCTGATATCTTGGGATCTGCCCTATTACCATAATTTTCTGGTTATTGATATTATGTTAGTTTTATTGATAACTATTCTCGTTACACCTAGGTATATCTCATGCGTGCTCATTCTGATATTTTAAATATTTATAAAGACTTTACAAATATGATTCACACCCAGTTTCATAAATGTATCAAGATATTTCGCTTTGATGGTGCCTGTGAATATACCTCTTCGGCAATACAATCTATTTTAAAATCACATGACACTCTCTCTCAGCAGTCTTGTCCACACACTCATGAACAAAATGATGTTGCTGAGAGAAAACATCGTCACATTCTCGGCACCACTAGAGCTCTTCTGATATCAGCATCTGTACCTCGATATCTCTGGGCAGAAACACTTCTGATTGTTGTTTATCTTATCAATATTACTCCATCTTTTGTATTAGTTGTAGGCG